TCAAAAACATGTATAGCTTTCTGTGCTTCGGTTGGGTCCATGTTCTTTTTTTTGAAGATTATTGTACAAAACGTCAACATGTGGCATAATATAATGAAAAACAGTCAGCCAGAAAGTAAAATTTTGATCTTCCAGAATACGTCTAAGTCCTCTTGCTTCCTTGGAAGTAATAGCATTTGACTCTTCTTCTAGTTGCTCCATACACTCAATAATAAAGTCTCTATATTCGTAAACGACATTTACTGTACGAATATTGAAATTCCAGCGTGTAGGGATTGAACGAGGAATATTTTTTCCAACTATTTGATTTAAGACAGCTATTCTTTGAGGTGAATGACTAAAAAATCCAGGTATATCATGTAAATCTCCAAAAAATACGCGTACTTGGGAATTAATAGAACATGCTCTTGACATTATTAGATTCAATTGATGGGCGTAACAGTGCACAAAATGAGCAGTTTCATATTTTCTCTTAATTATTGTTTGCACTCCGCCATGTATCCCACTCATAACAGCTGCTCCGTCATAACTTTGTGCAATGAGCTTATTTTTGTTATTCTTTAATATTGGGTCTAAAACATTCAAAATTGTGTTAGCTAAGGTTTCAGCATCATGTTTTTCTGGAAGCAAAAAAGTCCAAAACCTTTCAACTGGAGCACCGTTTTTTACATAACGAAAAACAATGACCATTTGAAATTTCATAGAAACATCCGTTGTCTCATCAGCTATCACTGCTAAAAATGGGGCTTCATTGATTTCGTTTAAAATCTCCTCAGCGTATACTTCTAGCATGCAATCCAAAATATCATTTTGTATTGTTTTTGAGGTACCTTTGAAAATTGTCGCATTTGTAAGGTGTTCACTAAGTGTTTTATCAAGTTCAGCAGAAAAATTCACTAAACCACGAAAAATTCCAGGGTTATCTGATGTTTCAGATTCATCGTGTCCTCGTAAGGCGAGCTCAAAAGCCCCACAGAATTTTATACAGTCAATTATTTTTGACAAAACATACCTGTTTTTCGTCACCTCTTCATTGTGTTTTTGTATATTTATCCAATAAGCAGAGTCAAGTTGGGCCTGTATATTAAGTTTCCCAAATAATGCAAATCGCATTTCATTGTTCATATGAGTTTGCGTGTTTTCATGCTTCTTTATTTTTTCACTTAAATGCACTAGATCCCGCACTCCTGTCTCGCGCCACAATTTTTCCTCTTTATCTGCGCCGAATAATGCACACGGAAAACAGAAAAAAGCATTTTTTTCGGAACATCCACAAATCCACTGATTTCGTAGATACATGTCTTTATTAAATTTACGCGTATATGTTTTTCCACGGCTTTTACCGGACACTTCAATATTAAGATCAGGCATAGGACGGCCACGTTCTTTTATAATCAACTGTTGTTGATAGTGAAGTTTTTGAAATTTATTTACACCTAATTTAAATTGAAACTCCATTGTTTTAAACACGCTCGAACAAAACAAATTAAACAAAATTGTAACCTAAGAATTTCTAAACACGGCACAGATGCAACGGTCACGAATAACTGTCGTGAATTGCAGCTCGCAAACACATTTCCGAGGCCGTTAATCAGCCGATTGCCGAAGCACATCGGCTAAGATCGCCGTTTGCCTAATAAATGCATTTTACCGCTGCCAGTGTTTCGGTTGTTATCGACGCGGCTTCACTGGAGCAGCAAATACGTAAAAAGATTGCTTCACTGGAGCACCAAATACGTAAAAAAATTATACGGTTTCACTAGAGGAGTAAATACGTAAAAAAAATAATATTAATCATCGTTGTTGGTGAATTATTATTAACAGTTTATGTTTAATATGATAATATGGCAGATTTGAAATAAAACTATATTAATTATTCTTTAATAATTAAGATTTGCTATGGTTGTTTGGTAGTTCTGCAGCTCAGCAGCACATAAAGAAAAGCCGCCACTGTTCCATTCCATTTTTGTTAAACGTAACTTTGTATTCCAGTTCTTCCTTTGACGGTAAGTTAAAATATACATTATCGAAGATGAATATCTATATAAAATATTGGCCAATTTTATAAATATATAGTAAGCTTGTTTATATACAGGTTGGTGAATTGTCAAACGGGCCATAGGAAACTCAATGAGAAATTCTAAATTGTTGAATTCCCGCTTCCCTAATTATTTTACACCAAAAGTCATGGGAAACTATTTGTAGAGGATTCAAATATGTATTGAAAACAATTGTTAAAATTGTTCTACGACTTAAACGTATTCCAAAATTTTGCTTAAAAATATACATTTTTTAGGCCACCCCTAAAAGTCAGGCCAGACGCCGTGAAAAGAATGTGTATTACGTGTTGCGTTTTGTCATATTGACGTTTATAATATTTGACAATATTTAAATCAAGTTAGTATATTATATTTATCTATGATTTAAATGGCCAACATTTTGTGATTTATTATTTAAAAGAAAAATTAAGTTGATTAAAAAATGTACTCAGTTTTATTATAACATTTGTTATAGTTTTATGTTTAGAAATTATCATATATTATTATTAGGAATAAAGATAACAGTAACAGTATATTGGAATTCATTGAATTGTTGTATAACTTAACTTAACATGGAATTAAATTTTAGTGTATTAGAATATCTTACGTTAAATAAAGATCCGGTAGTGACAGGTTCGCGCTATTGCCTGAACACATTATGCGATTTTTCGTCAACTGAGTACATTTCATTATATTGATCGATTTGTAAACAATATAAGGTTTGTTCTAGCATCAGTTTCAAACGGTTTGAAACCATCAGCGAATAGTGGACCAGTGCGAGTAGAGGGGATATAGCACTGGTGACCATGATACTATAAACTACAGATAAACCCACGCGCACGCGATCAGTCGTGTGACGTCACTTGGCGACAAATGTCACCAGAAATGTTCTGTGTTGTATGGAGTTTTGTCAGATTTAGTCAAGGTTAGTAGATATTTAAGTATCTCTGGTATCTACTTAAATATCTACTAACCTTGAGATTTAGTTTTGTTTTATCGTTTATCTTGTACGTTGACATCGGTTTACTGGGTAAACCATCTTTTCGAAGGAGGTTTACTTAAACCATATCCAGATTTTCTAATTAAATGTAATGAACTGGACCATATTTTTTAACAATTTTAACAAAGGGTCATTAAAATTAACCAAGAATTATTTAAAATCGCTAATGGATTTAGCTGTGTTCAAATGTAATGTTAGTAAAGGTGTAAATTATATTTTAAAATTAGAAAATTGAATAGATATATTAAAGAAACATCCAAGGTTAAGAAGAAGAAAATATTAAAAATTGTAAAATAAATTGTTAAATAAACTTGTAAATTATTACAGTGTATTTTATTTTATCAGTTGTATTAAATTTTTATTTTAATAAATCAATCCATTGTATATAAATTTCCATTTGCAAAAGGATGTTTAGTTCTTACTTTTTTATATAATTTTAGTTTACATTGCTAGGCTAACAGAGATGTATATATAACATATTTTTAAGATTTAATTGCAGATATTTTACCTAACATCCCTTAATATTCTAAATATTTAAATAAAAACCCCTTTCTTTCCATATATGTTTTACCTACTGTGATGATAAAAGGTTGGTGATAAATGTGACTTTTATCACCAATTGACGTCATGCGCGTCGATGTACAAAATTCGATTGCGAAGTGGGTTTATCTTGGAAGTCTTAGTATCATGACTGGTGACTGTATTATTTTCTCTCGCTGACCAACTGTTTGCTGACGGTTTCCGACTAGTTTGTCTGTTTGCTAGAACAAACCTATAATTTATTGTTTACAAAGTAATATTGTTCAGTAGTAGTAGTATTTAGTAAAATTCATTGTTTATAATTTAATCATAAAATAAAAAAATTGACAATTCAAATTGTCAAACATCTGATATTAATATGATAAAACACACAAGTTATAATATATTCTTGTATTACGTGTGGCCTAACTTTTAGGGTTGGTCTGAAAAATCTATTATATTTTTGCAAAATTTTGAAGTACATTTGATTCGTAGAACGGTTTTAACATTTGTTTTTAATTCAGAATCTCTACAAATAGTTTTTTATGACTTTTGATCTAAAATAATTAGGGAAGCAGCAATTCAACAATTTAAAATTTCCCATTGAGTTTCCTATGGCCCGTTTGACGATTCACCACCCGGTAGATTGTCTTTTTGTCTTTCTTTTCTTCTTTCATATTTTAACTTGAATAAGAGTATACCTTTTTCTTATTTTTCAAGGTACGAGGGTCATTCGTAAAAAAGGTTCTCTATGCCGCTGAGAAAGACTGCAACGCATAGGGAGACATTTGGCAACACTGACTTACGCATAAACTATTTTTCTCTCTTAACCCTACCACTAACGCCTCGCTGCATTGCTTAGTGATGGTGCCGGTCTAGCAGCCTTTGAAGATGAAGCTTCCGATCGCCAGATGTGAAATTCGTGCTGTGTTAGTTTTTTAAAGTCTAAACGGATTTCACCTTTTGACATTCATCGTCAGCTAGTCGAAGTTTATGGGAAAAAGTACATATGTGTTCAATATGTTCGTTAATGGTGTAGATAATTTAGTGAAGCCGAACGAAAATTCATGAAAAAGATCGGAGTGGAGGGCCTTCAGTTTCAGACGAAAATTTTCGAAAAAATTGAACGGTAATTACTTGAAGATTAGAGGTTTACCATTAACGACCTTGCTTTGCATATTCCTGAGACTTTCCACACCACAATTCATGTCCAGTGGTTTGAGGATTCTCAATGACAACAGTCGACTTCATGTCTCACATTAAACTGAACAACTGCTAATAGATTTTGACTGTTGTGCTCTCCCCCACTACAGTCCGGACCTAGCACCAAGTGATTATCACTTATTCATAAAAGTAAAGAAACACTTGGGTATCTTACGCTTCAGTGCCGATGATGAAGTCAAAGAAGAGGTTAATCGATTAATCAAACGATGGTCGGTGGAATTACATAACATGGTGATAAAAAAGTAGGACCATCGCCTGCAAAATTATTTGGATAGAAACGGGATTATGTTGAATAATAGCATAAGTTTTAAGTTTTAAAATGACGTATAACCCTAAAAAAATAATAAAAATAAAGCTATCTATTTTTAAAATTAATGGGAACCTTATTTTAGGAATGGCTCTCGTAGCAGTCGTATCCTGACAGGAATTGTACAACTGGTCCAATAGTTTAAAGATGCTGAAACTTTAAAAGCTGTTAAAATATACTAGCGGACCAACTCGACATCGAGTTTTTTAAATGAAATTTTTATTTTGCGAAAAAAATTGAGAGATCAATACAAACAATATAATCAAGAATATACATAACATTCATCAATAATAATGCAAGTAAAAAGTGTATTAAATATCACGAAATATTTCGTCGAAAACAATTTTTTTTGTTACAATGGCTCCATTTTCTGAAAACTTTTGCTTGGCACCGGGAGTTATGTAAACATTTATTTTTTACTTTTTAATAAAAACGAAACCGGAAGTCGACCTCAAAACCGGAATGCAATTTTTAATTCATCAAATGTCGACATGGATATCATTTAGCAGTTAATTTTGCATGCTGATCGATGCGAATCCGGTGTCAGATTTGCTCTATCTTGACGTTTTATGCGCGTTTCGGATCACTTCTGGTGTCGGATCGCAACCGGAAGTACATATTTAGATTCGTCTCGACGAGACCTTTCGATCCATATATACATTGTGGGGTCTAAAACTTAAAGTAAATTTTAACTTCCGGTCATCTCAAAACCGGAAGTGAATATTTGTACCAAAAGTATATCTTGACAATCTCATACGTAATACTAATAATATTCCGAAAAAATATTTTAATTATCTAATATGGTTTTTGAGTCAAGTGGTGGACAAGAAAAGGGCTTAGCGTTTTAGTATATAAGATTTTTCAGCTATTTGCGTAAAAATAAGATTTATTTTGTATGCATAAACTAGAAATTGGTTCTAAATAGGTACTTCTCCAATATTACAATCATATTGAACCATTAATATTTGGGTTTCGTGTTAAGTGTGTCTCAATATAGGTAGTAACTATTCCTCTATTTTCATTTGGAGGGAATATAAAAATGGTACTACAAAACAAGTATTAAGATATCTTATGCAACTAATTTTATAGCTATGTAAATAAATATAAACATATATAGTTTAAAATAATCCTAAATGGCATTAAGACAGAATTATTATTCGTTACTACTTCTCTGAAATCTGTCAAAATAAAAAGTGGTACAGTGAGCGGAACTATAGCCTAGTGCGAAGCTTCATGCTATGTTTTCTGTAATTTTAATATTTAAATAATATTTTTAAAATTGAATAAAGTAATTTTATCTACAGTATCTACATAAAACAGCAGTTACTTAATTTCTTTGTTGTAGATTTTAATAAAATTGAAAAGGTTACATGTTGTATAACAGACTCCCTCGTCGCGTAAATGGATTTTTCCAACTATTTCGTGACGATACTCTTGTGACACTTGTCTCAGAATTTTACTATATGGAAAAAGTAATACAATACCAGCATGCAAGTTTCGCTTTAAAAATCTGTTTGAATTGAAAGATATGCTACAACTATGAGAATAATCAGAAGAGATGGACCTAAAATGAATACTTCCAAAACGAAATATTCCGGAAAACCCAAGAAATAAATTATCAACACAATAATATACGTATTCACATACTTATTGCAAACAATAAAAATGAAACATCAGCGTACTTACATAATGAGTACTTCCAGTTGTGATATATAGAGCAGACACAGAAAACTGTTGATAAACTCAACAACTCTCAATGAAAAGAGCAATGCCAGGGATAATCGTGCAAGACAGAATAACAAATCAAAAAATACCTGGATCTTCTTTAATACGATGGCATGATGAAATCCGAAAAGGAGCTTTAGTAAACTAGATTATAGAGGTCCAGACCAGAGGTAACTGGAAGGAGTTGAAACAGGTATGTGTCTAGATATGTACGGAAAATTTTGAATAAAGAGTTAGTGATTACCTTATGATTTGATACGTAGAAGATATATTGATTTTTCTTATCTCTACTGAATCATAAATAGTTTGAACGAAAATTTATGTGCCTAATATTGCGAAGTGGCAGAAATGTTAAACAAATGCAAGTTCAATTTAAAAAAGATTTTATCAGCTTGTTTAATGTTTTTTATCAGTAGACTCAAATTTAAATTCAAAGGAGGGAAATAATTGAATAAACAGCTGATAGACAAAGTGTACCCTTTTTACTATATCCAATATATTTTTGTGCCTTAGTTTTATGGTTATGTATAATTGCTTCAACTCAAAATCTTGTCAAACATCATTTTTGCCATTAAAATAAAGAGTTATGTAATGTATAAATAATTCTGTCTTAAGTATATATATTTAAGAACAATCTAGAAAATACAATTTTTTGAGCCATTATATACTTACCAACGGTTTAACTGTGGAAAAACTAACATAACTAATTCAAAGTTTCTAGATTATTCTCAATCTGAAACATAATAAAAAGGAACAATACTGTAACACAAATGTATCATTACGTATTAATGTATGTTACAAATACTTTACTGATATAAATATTTATTTTATGTCATTTTATACTTCGAAAAATCAAATTGCAAGTAATTGGGCAACTTGTTGCTTTTCTTCTGTTCGATCAATTTGTTCTTGGCTTTTTCCTTGAATTCATATAGATCTCGCAGACTGGTGTCGTCTAGATTTGACTCCAATACTTTTCTGATGAAGTTATGTCCTTGGATCGCTGTCGCTGTTGGGCTCATGCTTTCTCGGGCCGCCGCAAGGAGTTCTGGATGCTCATTGAGGGTGTCTGATAGTGATGCTATAAGAACATCTGCAAACAAGATTGGCATTAGTTTATTGATTATAAGAATATAATAATATAAGTAATTTTAGTAATTTTTACATGAATAAACAAAGCAAAAAATAATGGGAGGGATGAACTTGAAGGTCTAATGATACATTATCAACATTTGGAATGAATTTAGTTAGGTTTAATATTAAATCTCCTCGGTTAATGAGTTTGTTACTTTTTTTTGCTATAAGAACTGCGCTGAAACCCCTTACTCCTAGGTATGAAGAAGAAAAAGCAAAAATACAAGATAAGTTACAGGTATGTCTTTTTAAAACCACAATAATTGATATTCGTTTTTAAAATTTACCTAGTTCTTCGGAAATGATTATTTCAATCAATTTATCTTGTATTGTAACATCCGTTTCTTCAATGTCACCAAATAAATTGATAATCAGTGCGGTATAACCAGTGTCAAAATATCCTCAAATCAGGTTTTGAAATCTATATGGACGACATTTAAATGTTAGACATAGATTGAAAAAAGTCTTCCTGATAGATTACCTAAAACAAATTGAAGAACTGGGAATTCATTTAGTTAGGTTTAATATTAAATCTCCTCGGTTAATGATATCCAGGTTGTTACTTTTTTATTGTTGTGGGAACTGCGCTGAAACCCCTTTCTACTAGGTAGAAGAAGAAAAAGCGATTAAAAACTTTGTCGCAGTATTCCATGATAATATAGCTATACCATTCCCATAGATTCTTTAGTCAGGAGTTTCGTCTTCTTCCTATGGACCCTTTTCCTGCTATTTTCCCTTACATAATTATTCGAAGCAGTTCATATCTTTCGCCTCTTGTAATGTGTCCCAAGTATTGCAGTTTTCGTTTTTTGATCGTAAATATGACTTCCTTTTCTTTATTCATTCTTCTCAAGATCTCGACATTTGTGACTCTCTCGGTCCATGATATTCTCAGGATTCTGCGATATATCCACAGTTCAAATGCCTCTAATTTTTTGGTATCAATCTTTTTCAACGTCCATGACTCCATTCCGTAGAACAGCACAGAAAATACGTATCATCTCATCAGGCGAAGTTTCATTTCAATGCTCAAATCTCTTCCGCAGAACACTCTCTTCATTTTAGTGAATATGGATCTGGCTTTTTCTATTCTTATTTTGATTTCTGCTAAGCTATAGTTGTCTTCATTTATAAAAGTGCCTAAATATTTGTATTTGCTAACTCGATCGATAATTTGCATAAACACTGACGTACACTAGTTAAGTAGTACGATAAATGAAATATTCTCCATGGCAAAATAGTACAATTCAATAGCAATTAAGAAGGATTCTGCAAGTTCCAAACTGATGTGGGTAACTCATATTTACTCAAATTCAATTACTTGTAACCAGAAAGTTTATGTTGAGTATTGTTAAATTAATTTGAAAGATTTTGCAATTTTACAGTTATAAACATTTAACTATACGTGCGATCCATTAACGTATAGAAAGTTTTTTTTTAAAGCATTTGATATGATGCATTTCCAACCTCAATCTGTTGGATAAGAATACTTTCATTTGAATTTGACATTATTATTCTTTGAAAATGTGGCAGCCATAATTAAAGTTGGAAATAAGTTTTAAATGCATGTTATTTAAAAAAAAGTGTTTATTTGTATACGTTTCTCGACCAGTCCTTGACTATGGCCGTTGTTATATTTTTATATAAGATTATTAATACTTTTACCAAACGCCAATTCTAATAAAAAAAATTAAGACGAGTTATTAAAATCAAAAATAAACTTGTAGATTGTAAATATACTTGGTAAATCAACCTACCAAGTACTTTCTTTTCTAAAGCTCGTGATATGTGTCCCTGCTCGGCTTCTGCTTCTAGGAAACTGGTGAATTTCTGCAGAGCTTGTTGAGCTTCAGCGCTTCCTCTTGTCAAGCTTTGTGTAAACATAACTTTAGCAAGCTGGTAGATAACTTCTTCCAATGAATACTCAGTGTACAGAAAATCAGCAACCCTTAGTCGTTCTAGGAGTTCGTCATAATCTTCTTCTGATGTTTTTTCTGATCTGGTGGTATCTGTAATAATAAATGCCATTGAATACATATTTTTATGTAATATTTTAAAGTAAGTATAAAGAGAATTAAGTTAATTGTTGAATAGACATCCACTAAAGTAGTTGGATATTCTCTACGATATTCTCTTCTTCACGTGTCACATTAGAATTATCCGACGTTGTCGATCACCATTGCGAATGCTTCTTGATCTTCTGCCACATGGAATAATTGTCCTGAATTTGATATCCGATACCTACGATAAGCTCCTATATTAGATATAAATGATAAACGGAAGAATTTCATAGGTATTGAAGAAGGAGCTTATGATGTCTTAGGCAAGAAAAAGAAAAAGGTAGAAGAAAAAGAAGGAGGTGACCACAATGGAATCAGCAGGTGAAAAATACAGCAATTCATCATATAATTTTAAACAATAATTTAATGACAACAGCAATCATCATCATCATCCAGCCGAATTTTCACATCCATTGTTGGATATAGGCCTCCTCCAAACGTCTCCAGTTCTCTCTATCTCTAGCTGCTGCAATCCAGTTTGTTTCTATTCTCTTTAGGTCGTCGGTCCGTCGGGTGGGTGGTCTGCCTCGACTTCGCTTGTCGGCTCTTGGTCTCCACTCCAATAATCTCTTCGTCCATCTTCCGTCTTCCATTCTAGCAACATGTCCAGCCCACCTCTACTTTTGTTTATTGATTCGCAGTATAATATCGTCTACGCCAGTTCGTCGGCGTATCTCCTCATTTTTTTACGCGATCTTTCAAGGTCAGGCCCAGCATTGATCTCTCCATTCGCCTTTGTGTTACCCTCAGTTTTTCGGCAGTAGCTTTCGTTAAAGTTAAGGTCTCTGCTCCGTAGGTCAAGACTGGTAAGATGCATTGGTTAAATGCCTTCATTTTCAGGTGAATTGGGATATTTGTTTTAAAAATGTCTCTCATCCGTCCATCCCAACGTGATTCGTCTATTTAGCTCGCAGGTTTGGTTGTCACTGGTTATTCTAATTTCATGACCCAAGTATGTGTATTTATCGATTAATTCTACCTTGTTATTATTGATCTGTATCTCTTCGCTGAGAACCATATTGGTCATCATTTTGGTTTTCTCAAAATTTATCTCCAGCCCAGTTTCTTGTAGTATGTCATTCAGTTCTTGGAGCATGTCTTTGATCTCTCCCAGATTATCTGACAGAAGCACGATATCGTCCGCAAAACGTAGATGGTTTAATCTTTCTCCATCGATGGATATTCCTTTCTGTTGCCATGTTAGTCTTTTTAATACATACTCAAGAACGGTAATGAACAGCTTTGGTGACATGGTATCACCTTGCCTGACTCCCCTTTTTATCTTTATTTTATTAGTTGCAGAATATAGACTTATGGTTGTTGTGGCATTTTCATATATATTTTTAATTATATTACAATATCTGTGGTCGATCCTGCAATCTTGTAGTGCTCTTAAGATGGACGGTAGTTCCACTGTATCAAACGCCTTTTTAAAGTCTACAAATATTAATGCCAAGGGACGGTTATATTCGTTAGTTTTTTCTATTAGGGTTTTTAGGCATTGCAGGTGATCGTTTGTGCCATAATTAGGGCGGAAACCAGCTTGTTCCCGAGGTTGGTAAAAATCCAGCTTTGTCTCTAATCTATTCGTTATTATTCGGGTGTATAATTTATAAAGATGGTTAAGGAGACTGATTGGTCTGTATCTTTCCAGATCTGCTATATCTCCCTTCTTGTGTAAGAGTACAGTTATTGAATTATTCCACTTTGTTGGGATATTTTGATTCCATAAGCATATATTAAAGAGCTTTTGAATTTTGGCTATCAGTACTGCGCCTCCTAACTTTATCGCTTCCGTGACGACACCGTCCTCCCCCGGAGCTTTGTTATTCTTCATCTTTTTTAGAGCCTTGTAAATTTCGTCCAAGGAGATTTCTGGAATATCTTCGGAACCCTGATTTTGGACCTTCCTCTGTTAATATTCGACTATATCTAGAGTCGATTGGTTGCTATATAATGTCTCATAGAATGATTCCACAATTTGTAACATATGTTCTCTGTTTGATGTGATGTTGCCATTTCTATCCTTGAGTTTGACTATTTGTTCATTTCCATTTGTGAGTTTGCGTCTCATTATTTTCATACTCTTATTTTCCTCAATGGTTTTGATGATTTTCTCATCTTTGTATTTTCTTAAGTCTTTTCTGATTTCTCTTGATACTTCCTTGTTCATTCTATTTATATCGTCGTTACTAGAGTTTTCGTCGCTTCTCAGTATTCTTCTTTGTTCCATTTTTTCCTGTGTTTCCAGACTAATTTTTTCTTCCTTCACGCTTTTTGGGCAGCATTTCTTTTGAGCTTCTGTTATTGCTTCTACTATTATGTCATTTAGAATGTTAATATCATTTGTTGATGATTTTTCTTGAAGGAATTTACCGATATGATCTTCAAAATTTTGTTCGTTGTTTGGATGTGTCCATCTGTTTATTTGCTTCTTTTTTATCATATTGTGTCGTTCATAGTTGGTATTTAACACAACAACAGCAATATGTCGACGTATATCCTTTTAACAAGATCTGGTAAAAACAAAATTTTAACGATCTTTGTGACAAACAACTTATATGCTCTTATGCATGTCTACGCTTTTAACCAGTTTTGACTAAGTTGAATACTTTTGCTAGCGTATGTCGTTAGCATCTATTTTTTACATTCTACGGAGATTAAGCAGTTTTCTGGTATCAATAATTGTAAGTAAGATGGTAAGGGATATCTTCCAAACCTCTAGGAAAATGTATACAGGATTTTGCAAAAATAGATTAAAAGAGGCAAATATTGTTTAACAATTATTCAAAAATACAAAGTTTTAATAAAAGAATTGCATTTATTGCATTTTTAATAACACGGAATCCAAAAAGTCCACGGAATGTTCAAGACATAAAATAGTCGAAGAATCAAAACAGAAGTATAACCCGACAAGCGAGAGCTGGCGGGTTGCGCGTAGAAGAAATTGAAAAGTGTTCACCGTTTAAGTCATGTACATCGTGTACATCGTGTATAACCGTTTAAGTACCTATACTATATACCTATAATCGCGATTTAGTACCTCTCCTATCTCTCTTAGAATAATTCCTTTTCTATTTTCGAGCAGGTCACCCGCCAGCTCTCGCTTGTCGGATTATACAGACTTTTAACTCATACTTTTCATTTACTATTACTAATAACGAATTCTTAAAAGTATGCAAGCAATGCTTTTTAGAAACTTTTGATGAAACTAGTCGATTTATTATAAATGTCATGAATTAACAAAGTAACCTTACGCTCTGGAATTTGTCATGACGATAGAAGAGGCTTGGCAATATCAAACAAAATTTCAGATTCAGATAGGAATTTGGTACAGCCGCATATTAAATTAATACCTTCTTATGAAAGTCACTATTGTAGAAAATATACAGATATGAAATATCTTCCTTCAACTTATACGCTTTTTGGACTTTATCAGGAACATAAAAAATAAATTCCTGTTGATAAACGACCTGTTTCACGATTTATTTACAAACGCTTTTTTTATTCGTTTAACTTAAAAATTAAAATGCCCAATAAAGACATATGCGCCACATGTGATTATTATTATATGTTAATTAGAGTTGCTGAGGCAGACGAAAACAAACTTAGAAAGCCTAAAGAAAGAATTAGCTGAACACCAGTAACAAGCCGAAATATCTTAAAATACAAAACAAGGCAGACAATGAAAGTTCACGTCAACACCCGTCAAAGTTAGCATATAGCTTTGACTTTCAGCAGTGCCTTCCAACTCCGAATCTACAGACATTGATTATTTTTTAATAAAGGTAATTGTGGACATTTAACCTTATCCTTCTACAGATGCTTTCAGAAGAACAAAAAGCTTTCTGTTATATGTGGCACGGAACCATTGCCGCAAGAGGCGCAAATTAAGTAGTTTCGTATTTGAGCAAACACATTAAACAGCTTCCATCCACGACAAAAACAATTACATTTTGTTTCGATATATTTCCGACAAAACAAGAATTATTGTATATCCATCATACTCATGCTTGCATTAAAAGAATATTTAAGTCTTGAATACATTGATTATAAATTCTCACAACAGCAACCACTCGATTATTGACAAAAAGAAAAAACGATATTCTTGTCTCATTGAATAGTAAAAAGATTGGATGAATCAAGTAAGGCTTTGTGGTTTTAAAAAACCCTTTGACATTATCAGAAAGTTATCTGGAAATACATTAAATGGCTACGATATGCCAATGTTCCTGGTCAAATTTTGTACAAAACATCCCTAAGCGAAAAAGAGCTATTCGTTAAAACGTTTTAGAAAACGTTAACATACCGACGTCTTATAAAAATGCCAATCCGATAAGTAAAGAAAAAAAGAACCTATTGGAGTTGTTGCCATATATAAACCAAAACATTTCACGACTTCTATAAAAATTTGCTTACTACAGATCGTGTAAGAGATATTTCGCCAGATGCATCTGACTAACAGGATAACGATAATTAGTTACTGGTAATAATTAAAAAAAAATGTATTAAATTATTTACATAATCTTTAATAAAGGATTTTATTAAATTTTTTATAATACATGGTATACAGCCAACTACAAGAACTTAATGTCCTTGTGGATGGTAATAATTAGATATATTTTGTTTGTACCTAGACTTTAATAAAAAATGTTTGTGAATGTGTACATAAAATGTGTAATTGCGCCAGAATTAAGTTATGCACAGAAGCTAATACATAGTTTATTAAAAAATAAAATAGCATTGTATTTTTGTCTTAACCCAAACACCTGCTAATTAATGGTTAAAAAGTCTCACAATTTCCACAATTTCAGTTGACAATTTCAGTTAAAAATATGTTCATTTATTTATTAAAGTTTGTTTAGCAGTAAATGGTTTACTTTAATTAGTACCGAATATAAACTGGGTTAACCGATAATGATATAAAAGGCCCAGTTTCAGGCAACAAT